GTTGAGGTTGAGGTTGAGATTGAGGGTGACAATGAAGATGAGGTTGAGGATGAGGGTTAGAATGAAAATGATGTTGAGAATGAGGGTGAGGATGAGGTTCAAGTTGAGGATAAGGGTGAGGGTGAGGGTGAGCATGAAAATGATATTGAGGTTGAGGGTAAAGATGAGGTTGATGTCGAGGATGAGAATGAAAATGAGGATGAGGTTGAGGGTGAGGACGAAGTTGAAGTTGAAGTTGAGGAGACTGAGGTTGAAACTGAGATTGAGGCTGGGGATAAGGATGAAAATGATATCGAGGTTGAGGGTAAGGGTGAAGTTGAGGTTCAAGTTGAGAATGAAGGTGAGGATGAGGATGAAAATGATGCTAAGGTTGAGGTTGAGGATAAGGATGAGGATGAGAGTGAGACTGAGGTTGAAGGTGAGGATGAAGTTGAGATAGGTTGAAGATGAGGAATATAGATGAGGATGAGATGAAGTTAAGGTTGTGGTTGAGAATGAGGATGAAGATGAGGATGATACCAAGGATGGCTGGAAGGAGAGCTACTGTATTTATTCAGAAGCTGAACAGATACCCTCAACATTTCATTGGTGACATTATACAGCTGCTCATTCTCAATCCTTGGCCACTAATGTTCTTTCTTCACTACTGCAAGACCAGATGGAGTATCAGTCCTAAAATCTGGCCATTCTCTGCAGCTGGGAATGAAACTATTGTAGACATCTCCAACCCTGTTGGAAACAAATTTGTAGCTCCTCAGGGCCTAATTGAAAATAATCCAAGGTTTTCTTGGTGGTAAAATTACATACCTAATTCAACAGGACATCATGTGCTAAAAACATGTTTGTTAGACAGGACCCACAGCGAGCTAAAATTCACCCTGCCTAATGGTTATTACGGGCAATTGTTTTTTCAACAAAAACTGAAAAATAGGATTTACTGTTTGTTGCAAAGACTTACACCATCTTCATCCTCAATGATATCTCTTCCAATTGAAGTCAACGTTGTCCATTTGCAATTATTTATTGCCCGAACGGCACATCTTTTGTGAGCCTTGAACTTGCATACTAGGAGAAAGGAATAAATGTATTTTTTTTAAAAAAAAAAAAACATACATAGGTTCCTGAGAACATTATTTCCGTCAAGGTCACAAAATCTATCTTAACCAAATGTCCATTCCTAGGGAAGGATTTGCTTTCAACCTTCACCAATTTACACATAGTTCTCAACTTACGATTAGTCGCTTAACAACTGTTCAAAGTTATGGTGGACCTTCCCAGAGCTATTTACAACCCGTTTTCCAAGTTAAGAGGATTGCACAAACACACACAAATCAAGAGAACGAGGACCACATATTAAGTTCCAATTAAGCTGATATATTGCTCCTGTCTATATACAAGAATCTAATCAATTAACTGTCAGTCTAAACTGGCAATAAAGAGTTAATGGCATTGAAGAAGGGTTGGACTTAGACTGCTTGTGACAATGGAATGACTTCAGGTTGATTCCTCTTTTGACTCCACCTCCAAGCTCTTCCTGTCAACTCGTAAATCATTCCTATGACTGCTTCCAAGTTGCCATAAGAAGAAGAGGGGAAAGGCCTGAGGGAACAGTGCGGCAGATGAAGGCCAGAAACACATTCCACACTTATCTTGTGGAGATTGTAGCTTAGGCTACTGGATGTTCTGCCCGGGAAAATCTTTCATTGGAGAATGTGATTGATGATACCCAGTCTGTGAATGTGTTTTGTTGGAGAATCTGATTTATAACACACCCAGGGTCATAGGCAATAGTAAATTACGTGTCTTAGAGTTGGCTTCATATGGGTTAGTGCCGGATGTGTTGCTCCTAATAAATCTTCTGGATTCCTTTGAAGCTTGACTCGAGGCTCATGATTTAATTCTGTGATGGAGAACCTATGGCACGCGTGCCACAGATGGCACGCAGAGACATTTGTGCCGGCACGCGAGCTGCAAGCAAACTTACCTCACTGCGCATGTGCGCACAATTACAGCTGATTTTCAGCTGGTTTGAGGCCTTTTTCAGCCTCCCAAAGGCTTGAGGAAGGCTTCGGCAGGCTTCTGCAAGTTTTGTAGGCTGAAAACTAGCCCTGTTTTGTCACTTCTGGTATTTTTGGAAAAACAGGAAATGACAAAACGGGGCTAATTTTTGGCCTACAAAGCTTGGGGAAGCCTGCAGAAGCCTTCCTCAAGCTTTTGGGAGGCTGAAAAAGGCCTCAAACTGGCTGAAAATCAGCTGTGAGGCACAGTGCAGGGGGTGGCGGGAGTAGGTGGGTGGGTGGATTGTGAGCATATGCATAGGGGGCGTGGGGGGCCATGCATTGCCTTCTAGGTGCAGGCACATGAGTGCGAGCGTGCAAGCGCGTGCACAATTTTTGGCACAGGAGCCCAAAAAGGTTAGCCACCACTGATTTAATTAGAGCAATCGTTGGAACCCAAACACTGCCTCTCTTTCTCCTAAATGCACATACATACACACCTGCATACACACCCTTATGGCTGTTTGCACCATCTTGAGGTCACGTGGTCACAGTTTGCAATGTTTTTTACCAGTTTTCTGTCACCGGCTTCCAATTTCTGGCAAAAATATGACTATTGGGGAAAACGGATTTGCTTTTAACAAGCATGGCATTCGTATAAATGACCAGTGCAAAAAATCAGATTCGGTCACACGATGCTTCAATTTACGACTGCAATGACTCAGAATCGTAATTCCAGTCTCAATTCCAGTCATAAGTCGAGGATTGTTGCTCCCTTGGGCATTCATCATACAGTTTAGCTTCCAATTCCCTGAACATTTTTATTCCTCTTCTCCGCATTCTTTCTCAGGCCTTGGCATCTTCTTCGTACCGTGGTGACATCTTTATGTGGACGGCTACTCCAGCATCAGTCCTTAAATGGAAATTTATGACCAGGTTCTCAGAAAGGGTCAAGCTATCTGTCATTGTATGGGGGCGCGACGGCTCAGCCGTTAAAGACGCTGAGCGTTATCAGCTTTCCGGCTCACAGATCGAGTTCAAGACCTGAGCATCGCACGAAGGGGTGAGCTCCTGTTCCTTGCTCCAGCTCCTGCCCACCTAGAAGCTCAAAAGCATGAAAATGCAAGCAGATAAATAGGTACCACTTCAGTGGGAAGGCAACAGCATTTCGTGCGCCTTTGGGGTATAATCATGCTGGACACATGACCACAGAAGATGTTTTTGGACAATGCCGCCTTCCTCGGCCAAGAAACCGAGATGAGCACTATGCCACAGAGTGGGACACAACTGGACAGAGGAAAGCCTTACCTTTCGTTGTTATCGATGCCATGTGTGTTCCCCAAGCAAAATGCATGATACCTGATCTATTCAGTCCTGTTTAGGCATGTATCACACCCACTCACACACCCACAGAGACATACACACACACACACACACACACACACACACACACACAAGAGAAGCTGCTTGGCAGTCTCTTTGTAAGACACCTTATGAAGCCAAGACGCATAGCATCTGCACTCTTATACAAACAAGGGCTGAAAAGCCACTTCAAACCTTAGCCAAGTCCTGGATAATTATTATTTATCACAATAAAAGCCTGTTGCTTGCAAGCTTTCCCTGTGCAATTCAGCATCCCAGAAGTTTCAAGTTGATCGCTTTCCAAGAACAGCTGCTTCTCCAAATGCCTTTGTTGGTTCCAAAGAAAGAAACATTAATCTGACGAGATGCGAGTCCTGTGACTTGTAATTTAACATGTCAGGAAGCGTAACGCTTGCCCAAGCATATTATTTCAATAATAAGAGTAACTGGATTTTTTTAAAAAAACCCTGCAGATAGAATCCAAGAATTGTACAAGGAATGAATCGAGGAATTCATTTAAGGAGAAACTTCCTTAACAGTGAGGACAATTAACCAGTGAAACAGAAGTTGCCTCCAGAAGTGATGGGTGGTTCATTACTGGAGGCTTTTAAGAAGAGACTGGACAGCCACTTGTCTGGAATAGTATAGGATCCCCATGAGCAAAGGGGTTGGACTAGGAGACCTCCAAGGGCCCTTCCAGCTCTATTATTATACTGTATATTCTAAGAATTCAAC